CAGTCACCGCTCCTGCCCCACGCTGGACAAGGGGCAGCCCCACCCCCACCCCACGTGAGGCTAGAGTGAGGGGCGAGCAGCAGGGGAGGAGGTGCACATGTGATGGCAGCCCCCTCCCAGCACCCACCGCAGGGGAGGCGAGGGGGCTTCCTGTGTCTGAGAAGGGCCCTGGGAGCACATGCAGTGACAGTGGTGTGAGGTGAGTGTGGTGCAGCAGGGAAGTGGGGGGGGGGGCTCCCCCGTAGCTCGCTGCTGCCTGTGGGGAGGGGGCTGGGGGGAATCCTTCTCTCTGGCCCTTGCCCCGGGGCAGCCTGTCTGCACCCCAAACTCCTCATCCCCAGCCCTGCCCTCACCCCTGAACCTCAACCCTCTGACCTATCCCTGAGCCCCCTCCCACACCCCAAACCCCTCAGCCACAGCCCTCACCCCTGCACCCTAGCCCTCTGCCTGAGCCCCTCCCACACCGCAAACCCCTCATCCCCACACCCACCCCAGAGCCCTCACCCCAACCCTCTGACCTAGCCCTGAGCCCCCTCCCACACCCCAAACCCCTCAGCCACAGTCCTCACCCCTGCACCCCAGCCCTCTGCCTGAGCCCCTCCCACAACCCAAACCCCTCATCACCAGCCCCACCCCAGAGCCCTCACATTTTTACATTATTTAAAAAAATATACAGTAACTCCCCACTTAACGTTGTAGTTCTGTTCCTGAAAAATGCTACTTTAAGTGAAACAATGTTAAGCGAACCCAATTTCCCTATAAGAATTAATGTAAATTGGGGGTTAGGTTCCAGGGAATTTTTTTTTTTGCCAGACAAAAGACTATATTTTATATATATATACACAGTATAAGTTTTAAACAAACAATTAATACGGTACACAGCAATGATGATTGTGAAGCTTGGTTGAGGTGGAGGAGTCAGAGGGTGGTCTATTTCCCAGGGAATGCCTTACTGCTAAATGCTGAACTAGCACTCGGCTGAGCCCTCAAGGGTTAACCCATTGTTGTTAATGCAGCCTCACTTAGAAGGCAGCACGAATGGAGGGAGGGCAGGGTGGAGACAGCATGGGAGAGAGAGACAGAGACACACACCCTGTGTGTGAGAGAGAGACTTAGAGATAGTAGCTGCTGCCAGCAAGCTCCCTCCATTCTGAGCCCTGTCGTGTCGTTCCCCCCGTGAGATGTGGGGCAGGAACGGGGGAGGGGGACACCCTGACAACAGCACCCCTCTTCCCCCTCCCCCCCCCGCACATAGGGTGACCAGACAGCAAGTGTGAAAAATCAGGACAGGGGGTGGGGGGTAATAGGAGCCTACATATGAAAAAGACCCAAAAATCAGGACTGTCCCTATAAAATTGGGACATCTGGTCACCCTACCTGCATAGTAAGCAGGAGGCTCCCAGAGCAGCTCCAAGGCAGGGGGCAGGAACAGCACAGGGCAGTGGGTGGGAGGGACACCTGAACTGCCCAGCAAATTACAGTCTGCCAGGCGGCAGCCACACAGGGAACTTAGAGGGGCTGTCAGCCCACCCTAGTTCCAAGCCCCCACCCTTCTTCCCGCTCTTCCCGCAAGCAGTGGACAAAGCAAGCGGCAGCCAAACAACACTATAAGGGAGCACTAGGCAACCTTAAAAAATCATGTTCTCTAATTCAGAGGTTCTCTAACTGTGGTCCACGGACCACCACTGGTATGCGAGCTCCATTCAGGTGGTCTGCGGATAGGTCCCTCTAAGGTGCACTCCTGGGCGGCCGCGCATGAGAGAATTAAGGGCTACCCACCTAATTAGTGGAGCTGCGCAGGCGTGGCTCCTCTAATTAGGTGCCTGGACCCTGGAGAAGATGCACATGTAAGGTGAGGTGGTGGCCTTGGGGGGAAGAGGGAGTAGGTAGGAGGGGCCGTGGTGTGAGAAGAGGGGGTGGGGGAATTTGGGAAGTGCAGGGCTACGGCGGCCAGAGAAAGAGGCTCAGGGCTGCGGTTGCCGGGTGGAGACCCCCCTCCGTCTTTCCCAGCTTCAGCTCTGTGGCTGCTGTGGCAGGGGAGAGACCCCCCTACTTTCCAGCCAGAGCTCAGAGGTTGCTACTGTGGGGGAGAGGGAGAGAACCCCTTTCTTCCCAGTCCCAGTTGGGGGCTACTGTGGCAGGGGAGGGAGGGCACATCCATTACATTAGAAAGGTTAAGACTACTGATATTAAAATATGAGTTGTGTGCTTTTATGTGTAGAACGAAAAAAGTTAATTATTATTTAGGGGTTTTTTATATAGCGCTTTTATCCAAAGTGCTTTACAATAGTTAGCTAACAGTACGTACAACATTTGGAAAGATCAGTAAGTGGTCTGCCAAGACCCTCCGCAATTTTCAAGTGGTCTGCGGAAAAAAAAGTTTGAGAGCCCACTGCTCTAACTGATCAGCAACGTAACAACAAAACAACGTTAACCGGGACGACTTCAAGTGAGGAGTTACTGTATATTGGCTTACAAGGCAGGTGTGAGTGCGTGGGGGGGGGGGGAATGGGGGACCTGGACTTAGACTTGTTCTGGGCACCACCAAAAATTATACAAACCTGCCGCCCCTGCTACTGACTTCACAGCAGGCCAGGGAGACACGAGTGTCCCGTGATCAGCACTGGGGCTTCCCTTGGTCTCTGGACCCTCTGCTGATCTGGGTCGGTTTCTGTTCT